GGGAAAGAGGTGTCAGTCTCTGAAAGTCATAAATCAGTTGTCTTAATGCTCAAGGCCCTCGCACACCATTGAGGGTGACTGGGCTGGCTCAGCCACTGTTCATCCTGCACCACTGCCTCTTCTCCCCGAGGCTCCAACGCTCTGCGCTTGGTCACCTCAACCAGTGCCAAAGGGAGAGGTCACCACGCTCGTAATCACCACGCTCCCAAAACACGTCTGTGCTGCCCAGCGCTGATAAGAGCCTGCATTGGAGAGAAGAGGCCCCAGACTGGCTGCAGCCAAACCAGACCCCCCCACCCCTGCAGCCCCACAGTGATGACAGGCTGCAAAACCAAGATCTAAGCTCTGACTGGTGCACGCAGCTCCAAACCCAGCCCAGGGAGGCTGTAACACCCCGCTGGTACAACTGTCCTGCCCAGAGCTTTCTCCCCTTCTACCTCCACCATCTCACGGGAATATGAGGGAAGGAAGGTGGTAGTAAAATTAAACGTAGTGCTACAAAGACAACCCCAAGGCACGACAGCGTAGGCATGCACTGGGTACCCGATGGTGAAGGCACAGAGTATTGAGAAAAGCATCCCTACCTGCTGAGGGTTCCTCTGGAGCAGAAGAGGCCTTTCAAAAAAAGAACAAAAGAACCTCCTTACTATTCCTTGATAGGGAAAAACAATCAGTTCAGTCTTTCACTGCTCCCTAATGTGAAGTGCTTTTGGATGCTGTCATCAGTCACAAGAGCTGTATATAAGGCATGTTTGTTTGCATGCTCGACACTAACTAGAGGGGATAAAAGAGAAGAAAACACAACCTTCACTTCAAGTCAAAGGAATTACTCACACAGTTAAAACACTTTCTTCCTCTGAACCATTTCTAACCTTGGCCTTGATTCCAAAGTCTCTTTGCATGTTTAATTCACCATTCTTGCAAAACAAACAAACAAACAAGCTACACTGCAGAAGGAAACATCTTCCAAAATGCGATTTAAACAAAGGAAGGAGAAAACATCCACAAAGTGTGAAACTCCTTCTGAATTCCCACCTGCTGCTGCTGCACCCTTCCCACTTGCCCGCTCGGGGAGCGGAGCAGAGCAGAGCACACCCAGAGCTGCTCGTGAGGGACACGTTCTCTGGCCCTGTTCTGCTCAAGGAAGCTCACAAAGTTGTAACAAAATCCCTGCCCTGGCCCAGCACTAACATGGAGCATTTCAGGATCGTATCATGAAATCATAGAAGGGTTTGGGTTGGAAGGGACCTTAAACCTCCTCCAGCTCCAACCCCTGCCCCGGGCAGGGACACCTTCCACTAGAGCAGGTTGCTCCAAGCCCCTGTGTCCAACCTGGCCTTGAACACTGCCAGGGATGGGGCAGCCACAGCTCCTCTGGGCACCCTGTGCCAGCACCTCAGCACCCTCCCAGGGAAGAGCTTCTGCCCAAGAGCTCACCTCAATCTCCCTCTGGCAGGTTCAAGCCATTCCCCTTGTCCTGTGCCTCCATCCCTTGTCCAAAGCCCCTCTCCAGGTCTCCTGGAGCCCCTTTAGGCCCTGGAGCTGCTCTAAGGTGTCCCCTGGAGGAGCCTTCTCTTCTCCAGCTGCCCCAGCCCAGCTCTCTCAGCCTGGCTCCAGAGCAGAGCTGCTCCATCCCCCATCTGTAACGTGTGGCTCACTGTAATACGTGCAGGTCTGCTCTAAAATTAACACCTGATGACTTCATTTTTGCTCGGTTTTGTAACATGTCCCTCCCAACAGCATGCCGAAGCAGAGAGAAGCAGGCGGAGCAGAACACCAGCAGCCTTTGACTCATGCACTGGGCTGTCTAGGACAGTTCTATCGTGCAGCTTGAGTTGCCAAGAGGGAAGGGTCTGCAGAGGGGAGATGTTCATGTTATCACACAGATGCACGCATGCTGGAGACTGAAGGCAGGCAGGCAGCACAGTGGAAAAAAGAAGGTGCCCACAGAAAAGGGATGCTCCCCCTTTTCCACAGAATTTTGGTTTATTCATTTTATTACAGAAAAGGGTGGGAAAAGCCTATTTCAGACACAGCTGTCACTCAAAAATGACTGCCCACACCTACCCAGATGCACGTCCCTGCATTGCCTCAGAGGAAGAAACACTCCATTCCCTTTTCACATGCTCCACACGCAGGTATTTTTCACATACCCTGCAATTTTGTGGCTCCACACAATAACCAAGTGAGTCGGTCCATGAACCACGGGCAACTCCCATTCCCACTCGACTTGCCAACCTGGCTGGCACACGCTGCCAGCAGCACAGCCAGGGCCACCCACTGTCACCAAAGCCTGCATGGGATGTGCAGCACCCACCCAGCACCCTGGGGGACTCGGGAGCTGCTGGCACTGGGTTTGACACGCTTGTTCCCAAGATAGCGTCAGGGTTTGCAAGTCTGGCAGCTAACTCCCATGGCCTCTCATTCATTAAAGCCAGGTCTTAAAACGGGAGCGATACAACAGGCCTCTGGCAAGACTTCCCAGAGACACTGAGAAGCTAAAGCCTAAGCTCTAATTCAAGGACACGTGCAGAATTTAGGCCCTAAACGTAATGCAAAGCTTAGTTTTGGTTTTGCTTTTCTGTTGACGCTGCCAACGCAACCTGCCACGCATCAAATCTAATGCGAACATCAGCCCCGTCCCCCAAGCCCTCCTCCCATCCCAACAACCAGCGCTTTGCCAGCCCAGGCTCCGCAGGCGCCTCCCAGATGTGTTATTGATAGGAGAAGCCACCGACAGAGCCCGGCTCCGGCTGAGCAGACACTGACCTACTTGGGGCTGTGAGTCAGCTT